CCACTAACTCACACAACACACAATCCCACCCACACATTCATACACAACCAATCACACGCATCTATCCCCACACTTGTCCGCTTAGCTGCGCTATCTCCCTAGGGCCTTTACAGGGATAAAAGGACACTGTAGTCACCAGAACCACTACAGCTTAATGTTCTGGTTCTGGTGTCTGTATCCTGTTTCATAGAAAAGGTGGTGTTTACATTGGTGCCTAGTAACACTTCTAGCGGCAGTCACTCAGTCTAAAAGTGGTGTTCAGCATCTCTACACACAAATCTTTAAATTTAAGTGTTCTGCATTAATGCTAAAATTCCTCGAGCAGACCGAGGAAGTGGGTGGCACATAAATAGGCCAGAGGACTGAGAACACGCCATAACCCCTTAATGTTTGTATCTTCATAGGGTATTGAATTGCTTGTTTTACTAATTTCAAAAGGTCCAAAAACCATTGAGAATGAGATTCTCCCGGAGGTATTTATATAATATTTTGAGTAATAGAAATCTAGTACTGAAACTTTGAGGCCAATTCATGTAATTTGCTTTTAGCTTACTTAGAAAAGTCTCAAGAGATCTATATTGTTAAGTGTTACTTAGAATTTTGACTGTAAATTAACTTTGCTTAAAGGCTGATTGCTAGGATAGCAGTGAACCAAATCCTTGGGGAAATAAAGCTGCAGAAAATATTTTATTTTCTAGTGAGTGCATAATTAAATGCTAATAACAAAATACTGGGAGAATTGCCATAAATGAACCAATATGATAAAATAAAATCTCTCCATCTGCACAGTATCTGAAGTATAGCTATGTAATAAATGCCATGTCAATGTGTAATAAATGATATAGCCCCACAATATGCTTTAACATGGAATATGCAATAAACTGTTGGCATACAATATATGATCGCAAGGGTTTCCAAATTTCCCTGCTGGAGTTGAATGTATGAAAATATAATAAAACAACATTCTCTGCTATAGTAATAATGCAATTTATATTGAACATGACTTGAATGGAAACATGAGCGTTAAATAAAAGAGGTAAATAAATGAATAACATGCAAGGAGCGGTGGCCACTTATCGGGGAACATCTTAACTCACTCCCAGTAAATAATATTGAAGGAGTTACTGGGTTAAAGTATGCAATGGAGGTAAGTAAAAAAAATAACAAAAAACACAAAGTTTATATGTACATTTAACACTGAGTACGGGCTCCTACTCAATAGCTTGCCATTTATTTAGTTCCAGATCAGGTCTCATAAAGGTTTAGCAGACTTTTACCTCTGCAGAGAGAATCTTTGCCAAATGCATATCAGATTGATACCATAAACAAAGGCAATCAATATCTGTAACTTCAGCAAGTTTCCTCCTTCTTTGAGTCTTTTTATTGAAGTCTAGCAAGTCACCCTCCCCTCCTCAGCCATTCCATGATTATCTCCCCCTCCCCAGTCCCTCCATGATTATCTCCCCATCCCCAGTCCGTCCATGATTATCTCCCCATTCCCAGTCCCTCTATGATTATCTCCCACTCCCCTCCTCTGTACCTCCATGATTATCTCCCCGTCCCCTCCTCTGTCCCTTCATGATTATCTCTCCCTCCCCTTCTCTGTCCCTTAATGATTATCTCCCCCTCCACTCCTTACCTGCTCGTTGTGTGCGGTACCTGGTCTGACAGGAAGAGCTCTCAGTGAAAACTTCCTTTACCACTTTAAGAGCTCCCTTTGGAGTCCCCTGGCACTTCTCAGTATTCTGAGTCATTGACTGAGTGCTGAACTACAAGGGAGCTCTTAGAGTGATATGCACCAAATCACCTTCCCCTTTAGACCTTTAGGGGTCGTGCCCACCCTCCACTGAACCACCAGGGAAAGGTAAGCAGGAGGGGTTGCAAAACACAAAGTCAAACACTAAACACACAAAACTCAGCCACACTAAGATTACCCAATGCAACCATACAGACTTCTCCACACACAAAATCCAGTCACAACTCACAACACTCCACTAGCACACACAGGTACACTCTGCAACCCCACCTTAACACATACAGCTCTCATCCACACACAAGACTGACACTACACACACTCTAATACTCTCTCTCACATACACTCAGCCTACCCCACACACCACTCCCAGAACAGAGCACAGGGCTCTAAAAAGTGACCCCAATCTGACATCCTGCCCATAGCCCTGGTCAACCCAGGGCCGGCGTCACCGTTAGGTGAACTAGGCATTCGCCTAGGGCGCCGACCTGCTGGGGGCGCCCACCGGGATGCTCCTTGGTGGGCTGCCTGCCCCTATCTGGGTCCGCAGCGGTGGGCAGATCCTCCACACGCCCAAAGGTGGGGGCTCCGAGAGGATCCCTGTCACGGGGGGCCAGGAGGTTGCCATCTGGCCACCTCAGGTCACTCCCGAAGCTATGCGCTAGGTAAGGCAGAGCAGGCACCTACTTACCTTAATGGCAGGTGCCTGCTCTGCCAACAAATCCCAGTGTGCGGAGGTGAGGGGGGCGGAGAATGCAGGCGGCAAAGGAGGCTATTCTTGCAGTCTCTCATTCCTCCCTCGAGCGCCCTTTATGATGCCGGGAGCCGGAATATGATGCTGGAGGAGTGAGTAGCTGCCCCACACTGGACCCCAGGGAGGTGAGTAAGAGTCAGTGAGAGTGTGTGTGAGTATCTGCCTGTGTGTGTGTGTGTCTGTCTGTCAGTGACTGAGTGTATGTATGTCAGTGAGTGTCTGCCTGTGTGTATGTGTGTGTGTCACTGAGTGTTTGACTGTCAGTGAGTGTCTGCCTGTGTGTGTCTCTGCAGTGAGTGAGTATGTATGTCAACGAGTGTATGTGTGCCTGTCAGTGAGTGAGTGTATGTCTGTCAGTGAGTGTGTGTGTATGTCTGTCAATGAGTGTATGTCTGCCAGTTAGTGTGTGTGTGTGTGTCTGTCTGTCTGTCTGTCAGTGAGTGTATGTATGTCAATGTGTGTGTGTCTGTCAGTGAGTGAGTGTCTGTGTGTATGTCTGTCAGTGAGTGTATGTCTGTCAGTGACTGTGCGTGTGTCTCTCAGGGAGTGAGTGAGTATATGTATGTCAGTGAGTGAGTGTATGTGTGTGTGTGTCTGTCTGTTTGTCAGTGAATAAATGTATGTCTGTCCGTGAATAAATGTATGTCTGTCAGTGAGTGAGTGAGTGGATGTCTGTCAGTGAGTGTGTATGTCTGTTAGTGGGTGAGTGTAAGTCTATCAGTAAGTGAGTGTCTGTCTGTTGGTGTCTGTGTGTCTGTCAGTGAGTGTCTGTCTGTCAGTAAGTGTCTGTGTATGTGTGTCAGTGAGTGAATGTGTGTGTCAGCCAGTGTGTGTCCCTCAGTGAGTGAGTGACATGAGGAGGGCGGCAAAATTGATCTTTGCCTAGGGCGGCAGACAGTGGCGTACACATGACCCATGGGGCCCCGGTGCGAAAATTGATCCGTGGGCCCCTCCCTGTGCGCGGGCAGGGCCGCAACACATGGCGGTGGGCACCTGGTCGCAGGGGTTACAGGGCTGCGACTCCTGCGACCGCGGTATGTACGCCAGTGTATGCAGATGCATACACACTTAAAGGACCACAACAGACACCCAGATCACATCAGCTCAATGAAGTTGTCTGGGTGTCAGGTCCCTCTAGTTTTAACCCTGCAGCTTAAAACATAGCAGTTTCAGAGAAACTGCTGTTTCACTGAGGGTTAATCCAGCCTCTAGTGGCTGTCTCACTGACAGCCGCTAGAGGAGCACACTGAACGTCCATAGGAAAGCATTGAGTAATGCTTTCCTATGGGCGGTTTGAATGCGTGCGCGGTCGCATTCGGAACTGAGAGGCTGAGGGATCCCCAGCGCCAAGGGAGTCCAGCGCTGGAGAAAGGTAAGTGCTGAAGACACACACACTCTCACTTACAGACGCATACACACTAGCTAACAGACACACACATTTACTGACAGAGACACACTCAGCGACAGACATACATACACTCTCTTACAAAACATACACTCTCATTGACAAACACACACTCACTAACAGACACCAAACAGACTCACTAACACACACACTCAGTAAGACACACACAGTAACACACTCACTGACACTCACTAGCAGACACAAACACTAACACTCACACTAACACTCACACACACTCTAACACTCACACTAACACTCACTAGCAGACACACACTAACACTCACTCTAACACACACTCTAACACTCACACACACTCTAACACTCACACTAACACTCACTCACACACTCACACACTCACACTCACACACTCTAACACTAACACTCACACACACTAACACTCACACACACTCTAACACACTAACACTCACTCTAACACTCACACACACTCTAACACACTCACACTAACACTCACACACATTCTAACACTCACACACTCTAACACTCACACACTCACAGACTAACACTAACACACTAACACTCACACATGTTGGTTTTTTTTTAAATGTAATCCTCCCAGCCTCCTTAACTTTTGCTGGGGGGATTCCCTGGGGTCCAGTGGTGCTGCTGGGCTCCTGGGCGGGTGGCCGGTCGGGCAGGCAGGTGCGCGAGGGAGCACTCAGTGTTCACTGAGTGCTCCCTCGCGCGCCCGCCTGCTGGGTGTCACCAGGGCCAGCCTCGGGGGGCCCTGGGATGGTCGGCTCCTGGGCCCCCCAAGGGAAGAGGCTGACCCAGTGGGTACATACAGGGTCGCAGGGGCGGCTGGGCCCCCTGGTGTGCCGGGCCCGGTCGCAGCCGCGACCCCTGCGACCCTGGTATGTACGCCACTGGCGGCAGAAATCCTTGCCCCAGCCCTGAGTCAACCTTACTCCAGTAAAAAGGTACCTAAAGAGTATCAGCCTTTCCACCAAATAGATTATCTGGAGTTTCTGTATCTCTCATGCAGAAGGAACTTGTCAGCATTTTGCAACTGGAATTTAATTAGTCATCAAAGTGTATAGGCAATATTTTGACATCCTCACATGTCTTTTTCAAGCCTTTTTTTCATGCCACAGGTTTTCAGGAATGTCTGTGAGTAGTGGCTTAAATATGCTCACCACCATGTCCACCAATGGGCCATCTCCGACGTGTTCAGGTAGGCCTCGGATACGCACATTATTGGGTCTGGAGCGATTGCCCACATCCTCTATTGCTAATTCTGCAGAGTCGAGACGGGCCTTAAGAGAATTAATTCGGGATACTACCTCATTGTGCACCTCCATCGTGGCCACCAGACGTTGCTCCACTTGAACAGTCCATGCTCCCAAAGTCTGTATCTCACCCCTCAGGACTCCAGTGGACCTTACAATTTTACCCACTAGGTAAGTCTTCACTTCGGCAAATATAGACAAAATCCAGGCCATATCTGGCTGTGGAGGCCTTCCTGTGGCAGTGGCATCTGCACTAAATGTTGTGGTAGTGTCGGGTGAACTGGGAACGCCGCCATCTTGTGATCCAGATGTCAATGCCCTTGACGCCGCAAATACGTCTGCGATGGTCACCTTCTGGACTGGGCTCTTGTTGGGGTGTTTCTTGGGAGCTCTTTTATCCATGAGGGCAGTTTACCAATTTTTACCTAGTTTGTAGTGCTTCTGTACCTTATGGCAGTTTTCAGAGGAGAGACTCACTCAAACACGTCCAGCCCCCTTGGATAAACTTTTAAAATGATTTAATATTATGAAAACTATTTACATTTTTTTATATTTTGGTATATTTAATACAATGTATTTTTTATATTTTAAAATATTGAAAAAAATATTTTAAAAGCTCATTTAGAATACCAAATAATTTGGGAAGCTTATTCAACAATATAAAACATTTTTGCAAGTTGTCTGCCTAAACAAAATTAATCCTTGTAAGTATTTTCAAAATAAGATAATATACTATGTATAAAGTCCTGAAGATTTAGGTCATATTGTATTCAATTTATTATTATACTTGCTAAATTCAAAAGTAAAAAAAAAATCTTAATGTTATTTTGATATATGTTATTATTCTTTTATTTTGTTAATGATCTAAATTCTCTTCAGCAGGATCGTGGTCACCGTACTTTGAGGGTTTAGCAATACACACGGATCTTATAATATTAAAAGCATTTTTCTATAAGTATCAGAACAGTGGGATTGATAATGTGTCTACATCATTATTGGCTCAATGACCATCTTCACATGTTGTTAGCTCATTGCTTAATTCATAAACTAGTTTGTTAGATCCATGAGATTTACATTTTCCTGTTTCCTCTTTATATTGGTCCTGAATCATTCCAAATGATATAACAAGTAACTAAAATGTGAAGAAGGTTTCACACTCCCAGGGCCAAGATGCAGAATTTGGTGGCAAGATATTAGCATATTTTTTATGTGAGTGGCATGTTTTTCAAAAGGCAGTGCATTCTTCTATTTACATATCAATGTGAGAGGAAGAACAGTGAGCTTTGAACACGCTAATCTTTATATTGGTAAGCAATGTGGAATCAATGGAGAATTAGAAGCCGCTAACACTTCCCAAACTTCCTGGGAAAGGTCTGTTTGCCGAATTGTATACTGAGCTCATTCCCATGCACATCACAAAAAAACTAGTGAATTGGGGTTTAGAAATTGGCCATATGAATTTAGCAGTGTATATGTATTTCTACTTTTAACATCATATGCAGCCATCCACTGTATCAGTAACTAGCAGAATAGCGTCTGAATTAGGCTTCGATTTAATATTGTTGGATAAGCTTTCCAAATGATTTAATATTTTTCAATAAACTTTAAAAATAATTGAATAATATGAAGAATAATTAGTTTTGTAACATTTTGACATTTAATGATGCAGTGATATATATTTTATTATAGATGTTATATCTTTTTGTATTTTAATACGTTGAAAAATAATTAGAAACGTTTATCCAAAAATATTAAACCTAAGCTAAATTAAAGCTTATTCAACAATATTTAATCAAGGCTATTGTTTTGATTAAGTAAGCTCTCCAAATGATTAAATACTGTTGGGAAAAAATCCAAATTAGATATCTACAGAACTCACTAAATGTTTGTAGATAAATAAATTGGACATTTTTCTAACAGTATTAAGTCATTAGGAAAGTAATCAAATGGAGGCTGTGCAGAAGTTAACAGAAGTTTAGAGAAGTCACCATTATTTTATCTTGATAAATCCTTTAGAAATGTGCCTCAATTTAATAGGCTTTCCAAATGATTCAATATTGTTAGAAAAATTTTGAAATCTTACTAAATCGAGGCCAATATTAAATAAAGGTCATTTGCCTTGATTTTATATTGTTGGGTTACATAGTTACATAGGCTGAAAAGAGACATGTGTCCATCAAGCACAGCCTTTTTCTCACATCTGTTTTTTTGCTGTTGATCCAAAAGAAAGGAAACAACCTTGTTTGAAGAACCAATTTTACAACAAACTAGGAAAAATATTCTTCTTGACACCAGAATGGCAGTCAGATTTATCATTGGATCAAGAAGCTATTACCCCAAATTTAATGTTTTCGCAAGTATGCATCCAGTTGCTGTTTAAACACCTGTAAAGACTCTGATGAAACCACTTTTTCAGGCACAGAATTGAAGATTATGCTAGCTTTAGTGTACTAATAATCTTATTTTGTAATGACAGGAGGCGAGTATTTTGCGTAATCTCTCTTTACTAAGTCCACGTAGCAGCAAAGAAACATATAGAAAAAAGAACCAATCACAAGAGAGTAGGATGTACATAAGACATAGTGACCTCATCATTTCTTCTTTCAGAAAGTGAGATCAAGCAGAAGTAAACATATAACAAGCAAAACAATAACTCTTAAGTCCAACATCCGAAGGAGCAAACTTCCCCTTGAATTCTTCACAAACAACGATAATGTGTTCAGGGCCAAATCAAATCCGAAGGATCAAAGTTCCAGTGAGTTTCACACAAACAACCAAATGTCTTCAGAGACGAATCAGACTGAAAAGAGAATGTGTGACAGGTTAAGACACAAAGTCATGAACATGTAAATCCAAGTAACGTACCGTATGCATCATCCCATAGAAGAATATTGTAAACTACAATCTGAAAACTGAATAACTATAATGTAAAACTCCAATGAGAATTCCAGAATTATGGAAATACAATCATCAATGTAAGCACTAAACACTGAGAGCCAAACCAACCTTAGACCCATGATACATACAAAGAAAACGAACAGAAAGGGTGGGTAGCGAAGCAGGGAGGGAAAAAACTCACCTCCAGTCATTACTAAAATTGGGATTATTAGTACACTAAAGCTAGTATAATCTTCAATTTTACAACGTGACAGGAGGCTTCGTATTTTGCATTTTTAACGCTGAGAAAGAAATAGAAAATGAATGAAGAAGCTGAAAGTGCAACGGGATCCCTAGCATGTCAGGTCTACGGGAGAAACCTCCCCGTCGAACACCCGATCATCCAGTACCTGGCGGAAAGTCACCGGTCCAAGCATAAAAGTCCATCTGTAGGTGCCCCAGAGAACAGAGAACGACCTCCACATCCCATGAGCCAAGGTGGATGTCATACGTTTTAGGACCCTTGTCCATCGGGAGTCCTCAGACCGGGACACGGGAAATAGAGCTGTCCAAACCCCCCCTTAATGGATCAAGGTACAGTTCCAAACATCAATCAGACCGGGAGTGTCCAGAGGTAGCATCGTTACGTCCCTGGGGCCCAAGAGACTCCTAGGTGGTCTCTGGCAGCCTGCGATAGTTCGCCGACCTGCCAAGAACCTCGGCAAGAGTCCCGGCCACCAGGGTCAGCCGACCCTCCAGGAAGAGAAGATGCCGGTTTACTGTGAGAATAGTAGAATATGAATGTAGGATGAGGAGATCCTCACTGGTCAGTCCAATAAGGTTCGAGAAACAAGGTTGACTCTTTCACAGCAGGACGGCCAAGGCGGTGTTATTCGATGAACAATGAGATGATGGAGAAGTTTTGCAATCATCGCAAGGGAGGAAAAAGCATACGTCCCCTGGGGAGGCACAGGTGGCCGGAGTTCGATCACTATTGTGCACCCTCGTGCAATGTGCCAATTGAAGAACACTGCATTCCGGCGGTCCCTCTGATATGTGTCTCCCCCGGGAGATAGGCCGACCTCAGGGTTCTGTGAGGAACTGGAGAGTGTGGCGTGGCCGGGGAGGAAAGGACCTGTCTGCTTGATGAAGGAGCAAAGAAAGAGGAAATGATGAGGTCACTATGCCTTATGTACATCCTACTCTCTTGTGATTGGTTCTTTTTTCTATATGTTTCTTTGCTGCTATGTGGAGTTAGTAAAGAGAGATTATGCAAAATACGAAGCCTACTTCCACATCTTTTTTGTGCTTACTGCAAAAAAAAAACTTTCCTTTGCCTTAGACCAGGGGTAGTCAACCTGGTCCCTATCGCCCACTAGTGGGCAGTTTGGGATTTCAGGTGGGCGGTGGTGGGTTCTGCTGAAAACGCCCAGTGAGCCTCGATGGCCATGGACCAGAGCCTCCTTAATAACAAATAAATAAAATAAAAATCGCACTTGCACTATAAAATTAGTTACTGCAGCACTGGTGGGCAGCAAGTAAATTGTGCCCAACACAATTTAGGAGATGAGCTTTGCACATACGTAGATCTCAATGTAATACATTTTCCAATGATTAAATACTGTTAGAAAAACTTTCAAATGATTTATGTACAAAATTGTCCATATAATTTAATGGTGACTTATGTAGAAAAATCATTTTGAAAGTTTTTCTAGCAGTATTACATCATTTGGAAAGCTTATTAAATTGAGGCCTTAGAGTGCTCTCTGTTTAAATGTGAAAACACAGTGGGTTTTCTTTATATGCTCTTAAAATCCAGATTTAAATAAAGGAATGAAGCATTGAGTCAGATATAAGTGGGAGGCTGTGGATTGTTTAATATTCAGTCTTCACAACAAACTATCCTTAGGTGAGGAAAATATGTTGAACTGAATGTGAGTTGTCAAAGGGACTCATACTTGTCTTCTGAAATCTGGAATGTTCTTGTGAAAAACAGACTGACATGTCAAGTGACAGTTTCTTTTTTATTTTTATCCAAGCACTTGCTAAGCCCCACTCTATTCACATTGCCTTGACCATCTCTAGTGACATTAACCGAGAAGTGGTGTAATGAATGCAGGAAAAAGCATTTACCTTTTGAATATGTTCTAGAGACGTTTGTCATATGTAGTCATCAAGGAGCAATACATCTGTTTCTCTAACAACATGCACATAGTGGCAATTTTCTAAAAACGGCAAACTCATAAATAAATGATATAATAAATTAACATGCAGTTTAATTTCTTATATTGTAAAAAATGGATAACATAAAGCACATAAAATCATTTGGACAAGATGTAAAACATGTACAGGGTTATCAACATTTTAGGATACAATTTTATCTTGAAACAATGTCTTCCAATAATAATAAGGTAAATACTGTTAGTGAAGCATTGTATGCTGCCAAAACCTTTTTAAACTGCAAGGAGAGGTGCAGTGATCCTATCTCTCAACTAATGTTTGAGGCCTGTTTTATCCTTATTGCCCATTAAATAAACATCTCAAGATGTTATAAACATCCACAACATCTGGAGTGCCGAAGGTTGTCTATCCCTGAGTCCTAGTCTATCACACTTGTTGCCCTCTTCCCTCTCTGCAGAGAAACAAATTTCTCTACGAGGGCTTTGTTTTGTCCACCTAAACCTCTGTAGAGGGACTGCAACATGAAATGTTCTTTGCGTCTCACAACTCTACAACAATCTTTAGAGATGAAACTTTAAGATTTCTAACATGCAGTCAAACGTGACACTTAATAAACCCCTAACCAGTTCAGGTATTTCAAATTTTCCAGCTCATGTACGCTTGATGCTACTAACGAAGCCCTGTTTTGCATATTTGTGCTGTTCTGAGAGATTCTATTCAGGGGTTTTATAATTTTGAAATCATTATAAGTTGAATTTTCAGTTTGTGGGGAAACCATTTGTTGTGCTGAGCTATTTCAATTGTCTTTGTTTGATTTGTTTATTGGAAACAGGTGAGTCTGTAAATTTTGACAATAAACCTGATATTCAATGGGGGTTGAATAATTTTTATTACAACTGTAATCTTGATTACAAATCTGACACATGAGGAAGAAGTGAAAGAGGATGGCGTATATTTAGAAGGTGAAGCAGAGGCGTAGCGATGGTGAGGCACAGGGGGGCACTTCATGAGGCACTAGGTCTAAGGGGGCACCAGAAATTTTTCTGATTTAATGCCATCCATCCTGCCTTCTTCATTCCATGGGCCAGATTGGCCCTTTGTAGTGAGACATTCAGGCAGCTTCTGGTAAGGGACAACTTATAAAAGTGTAGTGTGTCTCTGTCAGAATGCTTGTATTGGTAACTGTGTGTGTGTGTGTTAGTAAGTTTGTTTGGTAACTCTGTTTGTGTGTCAGTCAGTTTTTATTAATGACTGTGTGTGTAAGTGTGTTTGTATGGTTTACTATGTATCAATTAGTGTGTGGGAGTCAGTGTGTGTGTCAGTGTATTTGTTTGGGTCACTTTTTGTGTGACGGTGTCTCAGTGAGTTTGCAGAGGTCACTGTGTGAGTGTCAATGTGTTACTGTGTGTGACAATGTTTTTGTTAAGGTCACTCTGTATGTGTTAGTGTGTGTGTATGGGAATTAGTATGTGCCAGTGACTGTGTGTGCATCAGCTGGTGTGTGGGTAAACTGTGTGTGCCAGATAAAAATAAAATGCTTCGGAGGTAGCATTTGATGGAGGAGCACACAAAATGGACTTTGCCCAGCCACCCATTGACCTTGCTAAGCCTTTGGAGTGAAGGAGGAAGCATGAACTAGAAAGCAATGTGTAGAATCTACGGTAGATAGGATGGTGTAAATCTACAAAGCAAGAAACGTAGGCCTGGTTATAAGGTGGGAAATTGAGAGTCGATGGTTTAATGCATTTAGAGAGATATGTGTACTATAGTTTAAGTAAAGACAAAAGTAAAGAAATGAATAGAGCACAGTAGTTTGGTGTGAAAACAGTTCATTACAAGATTTCAAACATGAACTAAGTGTCACCATGTGTTGAAGAATTCATTCTCATCTAGTGGAGTGGAAATTATGTTTTTGAAGCTCTTGAAAAGGTGGCTTCACAACATTTTCAGTAGGAATACAAGTTGTGAGAAAATACAAAACATTTCAAGGGCAGTTAGAATAATAGTGCAAGAGAAACACTGAACCTTGCAATGTTCTCACATCATTATATGTAAAAAAAAAAACCTTCTTCCTGTCATTTTATATTGCTCTTGTCTTTTATACATGTTCAGCACCCAACCTCTGAAGGGCACATTTTGTTGTTGTTCCAGTTCCAAGCTTCTAAACCAAATCCAAGGAGAGTAAACTAATTTTCAGCTGAAAAAGCCCTGACATATTTCTTCTTGTTGTCAAGGCTACGCTCTGAAAATGCAATACGAAACCACTAATACATTTTCATAAGAAGTTTTCTATTTTTGGTACTCGGTCCCGAGCAAACACCCACTCTCACTCTTACTTTGCTTTTGCAGATCGGGCAGTTCAGGGTCAGTATGATGCTACTGTTAATATGCATACATGAGTTTGCTGCCAGAACTTGAATGGGTATTTGACAAGCATTCCTTTTACTTTGATCATCAAAGCACTCTCTTTGTAGTTTAAATTGACAACAACCATAAAATATACTTTTTTTAACAGCCAAACTGGATATTGTATCTTTTATACTTTTGCATTGTTTGTCCAGAAAACGGTTTCTACACCTTCCTTTTCTATCATTATAAATATGTTGCTGTTTCAGTCTCTCTCTCTATCTCTATATGTTTATAGATATATATGAGTAGACATTTTGGCCATATTACTCCTATGATGTAAAATAGGAGATGAAAATAGTACCTTGTTGTAAAAAATCTTTATTGGACTAATAGAATTAAGGGATGGCAATCTTCCCGTTCTCAAGTCTAAAGTATCCCCCTGGACAAATAGGGAAGGTGGAACATGACTGCTGCCCAGGATGGTGGGCTGGAGTTAGGGAGCAACAATGTTGCAAATAGTGGAGGAGTTAAAATGAGAGAGCAGGGGAGGGGACTTACAAGTCAGCAGGAGTTGTTCAAAGCCCTGACTGAATTTTGCAGTGCTGCTGTTGTTTGTACCTGGGCCTGCAAGAGAATTTCATCTGCAGTTAGCGATTGGGTGCATACAAGACGTCCCAATATGGCCACCCTATCCCTGGAAGAAGTGATACAGCTGCTGGCGGCTTACCAGGAGTCTCATGGCTCGCTGGATCAAGTACTGGCTGGGGTGCAGCAGGCTGCAGGAGCTCATCAAGACCGGCGGGAGGAGGAAACATCACTGAGTGGACAGAGGGCCAGACGATCCAGGCCTCCGTCGCGTTTGTCCCCAAGTCCCATGCGCATGAGTGGAAGGAGGAGCGCCCAGCGGTTGGAGGATGGGAGCGGTGGATCCGGGCAGCTCCCTGAACGAAGATCGTGAGCCGGAGGCTGCGGAGAGTCAGGAGAGCCGGGGAGGTAATGGAGGAATCCGGAGTCCAAGATTCTCTTCTTCTGCAGGAGGGAGTGACGTCATCATGCACTCATCCCGTGGCGCGTGCAACGCCGGCTGACATCAGGACGCACGGCAAGTCCAGAATGCCGCGGCGCACAAGCCTGCGGACGGCCCAGGTCAGTGCAAGGAGACCCAAAACGGTGCAGGAGCACCCCAGGACAGCTCAAAAAGGACCGCAAGGGAGCGCATCCGGCGCCTGCGGGTCCCCAGTAGCCGAGGAGGAAGAGTCCAGCCTGAATGAATCGGAGAAAGGGGTCCCTGGTGTTTCCAGACTAAGTCCTGCTGCCTCGGCACGTGAGTATTGTGCTAGCGCTTGGGATGTGCTGGCTGAGGGTGATGGGGGGGGTGGTGGGGATTCAGGGCAGGTTTTCCAGGGGCAAGAGGATTTGGTTAGGTTATTAGGGGCAGTGGTAGACAGGTTTCCTGGTGTCCCCTATACCTCTTCACTGGGTAATCTGGGTGCTGCTTCACGGGTTGTGAGCAGGGTACAGGGTATCCTGTGGCCACGGTTGCGAGGTTGCGAGCTGTTCCCGCTGGGACTGCATGTGGCTGCGGACGTCAGGGACAGGATTGTGTGGGGTGAGTATGTTGACTTACTGATGTTGGTTCCTCCAGATCGGGAGTCCATGGATAGACCACGGCGGGGTGACATGGGTGATGGGGAAAAAGGTAAGCAGCTCCCTCGGACGTTTGGGAACTGGCTTCAGGGTTTTGCAGTGTTTGCTAGTATTTTAACTGGTCGTTTTCCAGACAATGCTCCTGCCTTGTTCGATTACATGGATCTGATCTGGGGGGCACACAAGATCTATGGTGGACAATGCTGGTTCCAGTACGACCAGCAGTTTTGCCAAAAGATGGTGACTAGCGAGGGCATGGACTTTTCGGGTACAGGATGGCAGCTTGAGGCTGCTGTTGATGATGCCCTGTCGGCCATCCCCCTTTCCCGGATTGGCCAACAGATGCGCCAGCAGGGCAGCAGCGAGTAGTCTGTTGGCAGTTTAATGAGAGCCATTGCAGGTGGTACAGTTTATGCAGATTTAGGCATGAGTGTTCACACTGCGGGGGAGCGCATCCCGCCCTGCTTCAAAAAAGGTAAGCCGCCAAGGATGACGTTCCTAGATAGGAGGAATCCGGTGAGCGTTGAAAGGATGCGCCCGTGGCTAGACCGGTATCCTAAGCGACGGGAAGCGAAGATTCTGTTTGATGGGTTTTTGGTTGGGTTTTGGATCCCCTTTGTTTATTCTGAATCACCGTAGTTTGCGGTTAATTTACGGTCGGTTTCAGGAAAAGAATCACTTTTGGAGCAGAAACTGGAAAAGGAGGTGTCCTTGGGTCACATGGCGGGACCGTTTTCTTGACCCCCTTTCATAACTTGCGGGTGTCCCCCCTGGGCTTGGTACCTAAAAAAGAGCCTGGGGCCTTTCGCCTCATTCACCACCTGTCCTACTCATCCGGCGGGTCGGTGAATGATGATATCGATAGGGAGGTGTCGAGGGTGTGTTATGCATCGTTTGACAGGTCTCTGGAATTGGTAAGGGAGGTGGGGTCGGGGGTGTGGCCAGCTAAGTTGGACATTGAGTCAGCATTTCGTTTGCTTTAGGTCCACACTAACTGTTTTAAGCTACTAGGTTGTCAGTTTAAGGGGTCATATTGTTATGATATGTGCCTGCCCATGTGAGCTGTGCTATTTCCTGCTCGTATTCTGAGATGTTCTCAACATTCTTGGAATGAGTGGTGTCCCAGGTGTTTGGTTTGTCCTCCTTGATCCACTACCTGAACGATTTTCTGTTCGTAGGTCCACGGGATTCGGAAGGCTGTGCATTTTTTTGTTGACGGCATTTTCAGCGGCTTACGGCAGAGTTGGGAGTCCCGGTTGCAGTAGGCAAGACGGTTGGGCTGGTGGTTAGGTTATCTTATCTGGGTATCAAGATTCTAGTGAGATGGTTTTTCAGTTAATGGAGGAGAAGCTGGGGTTGTTGCTCCGCATTGTCAACGTGGTCAGAGGTTTCAAAAAGGTGCAGTTGCAACAGATGCAATAGCTGTTGGGACACTTGAACTTCGCTTGTAGGGTTTTTTTTCATGGGGAGACTGTTCTGTCGTTGCCACGGTCGGGGTAGAACAACCATTCCACTTTATACATATTATGAATTGTTTTAGGTTTTCTCCAGGTGTGGAGTGCCTTCTTAGGTGTGTATAATGGTCAATCATGTTGGTTGCGTGCAGAGTTGTCTAACAATGAGCTGGATCTGTTTACCGATGCATCTGGGTCAGTGGGGTTTGGGGCTTATTTCCAGGGGCGTTGGTGCGCCGCAGAGTGGCCTTCAGTATGGTGGGATTCGGAGCTAATGGGTAATCTGGCATTCCTGGAACTGTTCCACATTGTAGTTGCAGTCGAGTTATGGGGTGCTGACTTTGTGAAAAGAAAGGTGGTTGTTCACATGGACAACATGAGTGTGGTGCAGGTGATCAATCGTTCCACGTCTGGGTCCCCCCCGGTTTTGGCATTGTTCAGGAGTCTAGTGCCACTTAGTCTCAAATGTAATCTATGGTTGGTAGCCAGGCATGTAACGGACGTAGACAATGTCATTGCTGACTCTGTTTCTTGGTTTCAGTGGAACCGGTTTTGGGAGGCGGCTCCGGAGGTGTCGCAGACGGGAACCCCATTCCCGCCTTATTTGTGGAACCTGGTTTCAGACATCTGAGATGCTTGATACGGGGGTCCTTGACGGAGTCTTTGTGGAAAGCTTATACTGCGGTATGGGGCCGCTGATGTGGCCGTGGGTAGGTGCCATGATGTTTCGTCCGAGGCCGGAAGATTGTCCATTACTCTGTCCCTATTGGAGTTGTTGTGTTCCGCAGGTAGGTCAGCCGAACAGTGCTTGTCAGCTCTCTCTTTTTTGTTTTGTTTCGTAGGATGGGCGGATGTCAGTTAGGTGTTTTGCATTTCACACATTTTAAAATGGTGGAAAAAGGGACATGCCCCGACAAGTGGCGACCTATTTCGGGGGCTCTGCTGCTGCGGTTGTTGGAAGTCCTTCTGGAGGTATGTAGCTCTGCTTATGAGGTTCTTTTATTTTGGGGCTCTTCGGATTGGGGAGCTGGTAGCCCCCTAGGGCGAGCTCCGAGGCAGCGTTGTGGGTTTCCAACGTCTCGGTATCTGCTCGGGGCATGCTCCTGGTGATTTCACGCTCAAAGACGGATCAGGTGAGAACATGAGCGTGGGTACGGATCGGCTTGACGGGGGGTCAGCAAGGAACAGAAAGGTGCAGCAAGGAGCTGGAAGGGGCAGAAGAAGCACAAATGTAAAGTAGGAAAAGGAGCAGAAAGGAACAGAAATGAATAGGAATAGTCTGAAATAATCAGAAAGATCACAATGGTAAAGTAGGAGAAAGGGCAGCAAGGAGCAGAAAGGGGCAGCAAGGAGCACAAAGATAAAGGAGCAGAAAGAATCAGAAGGAGCACAAAGGTAAAGTAGGAGAAGGAACAGAAATGAGCAGGAAGGGTCAGCAAGGAGCAGGTGAATGATGATATCTACAAGGAGCAGGAAGGGACAGAAGGAGCACAAAGGTAAAGGATCAGAAAGAATAAGAAGTTGCACAAAGGTAAAGTAGGAGAAGGGGCAGAAAGGAGCAGAAAGGGGAGGCAAGGAGCACAAAGGTATAGGAGCAGAAAGAATCAGAAGTTGCACAAAGGTAAAGTAGGAGAAGGAGCAGCAAGGGTCAGCAAGGAGTAGGAAGGATCAGCAAGGAGCAGAAAGGGACCGAAGGAGCACAAAGTTAAAGGAGCAAAGAGAATCATAAGTTGTACAAAGGTAAAGTAGTAGAAGGAGCAGAAATGGACAGAAGGAGCACAAAGGTAAAGAAGGAGAAGGCTCAGAAAGGGTCAGCAAGGAGCTGGAAAGGGCAGCAAGGAGCAGAAAGGGTCAGCAAGGAGCTGGAAGGGGCTGAAGGAGCACAAAGTTAAAGGAGCAAAGAGAATCATAAGTTGTACAAAGGTAAAGTAGTAGAAGGAGCAGAAATGGACAGAAGGAGCACAAAGGTAAAGAAGGAGAAGGCTCAGAAAGGGTAAGCAAGGAGCTGGAAAGGGCAGCAAGGAGCAGAAAGGGTCAGCAAGGAGCTGGAAGGGGCTGAAGGAGCACAAAGGTAAAGTAGAAGAAGGAGCATAAAGGAACAGAATGAGCAGGAAGTGTCTGCAATTTGCAGGAAGGGTCAGCAAGGAGCAGGAAGGGTCAGAAGGAAGCAAAAGTAGCAGAAAGGGATCAGAAAGAGAAAGTAGCAGGAGGGCGCAAAAGAAGATGAAAGGTAAAGGAGCAGAAGGAGCCAAGGAGAAGAGAAGACAGTGTCAGAAAAAAGACTGTGTGAATGAAGGAGAAGAAAAGAATATTGGAACAGGAAGGACAAGTGAAGTGATCCTTCCACTTCATTCTGGACACCACATCATAAGACTTTGGTCCCTTGGCCTGGCAGGAAAACTTTGGACCTTCTCATCTCCCAGGCAAAAAATATATCAATGTTAATGTGTTCACTTTTATTTACGGAGTGTCAGGAAGCACAGAGTGCCACTGGTAGGGATGCCGCAGATTGGTCAGCTGGCACTCTAAGCCAATCACTAGATCCCCAGTCATAAAAAAGTTAAAAAAATTTTATGAACCAGAAACTAGTGATTGGCTTAGAGCTTCAGCTGACAACTCTAGCCATGCTCCTGGTGATTTCACGCTCAAAGACGGATCAGGTGAGAACATGAGCGTGGGTACGGATCGGCTTGACGGGGGGTCAGCAAGGAACAGAAAGGTGCAGCAAGGAGCTGGAAGGGGCAGAAGAAGCACAAATGTAAAGTAGGAAAAGGAGCAGAAAGGAACAGAAATGAATAGGAATAGTCTGAAATAATCAGAAAGATCACAATGGTAAAGTAGGAGAAAGGGCAGCAAGGAGCAGAAAGGGGCAGCAAGGAGCACAAAGATAAAGGAGCAGAAAGAATCAGAAGGAGCACAAAGGTAAAGTAGGAGAAGGAACAGAAATGAGCAGGAAGGGTCAGCAAGGAGCAGGTGAATGATGATATCTACAAGGAGCAGGAAGGGACAGAAGGAGCACAAAGGTAAAGGATCAGAAAGAATAAGAAGTTGCACAAAGGTAAAGTAGGAGAAGGGGCAGAAAGGAGCAGAAAGGGGAGGCAAGGAGCACAAAGGTATAGGAGCAGAAAGAATCAGAAGTTGCACAAAGGTAAAGTAGGAGAAGGAGCAGCAAGGGTCAGCAAGGAGTAGGAAGGATCAGCAAGGAGCAGAAAGGGACCGAAGGAGCACAAAGTTAAAGGAGCAAAGAGAATCATAAGTTGTACAAAGGTAAAGTAGTAGAAGGAGCAGAAATGGACAGAAGGAGCACAAAGGTAAAGAAGGAGAAGGCTCAGAAAGGGTCAGCAAGGAGCTGGAAAGGGCAGCAAGGAGCAGAAAGGGTCAGCAAGGAGCTGGAAGGGGCTGAAGGAGCACAAAGTTAAAGGAGCAAAGAGAATCATAATTTGTACAAAGGTAAAGTAGTAGAAGGAGCAGAAATGGACAGAAGGAGCACAAAGGTAAAGAAGGAGAAGGCTCAGAAAGGGTAAGCAAGGAGCTGGAAAGGGCAGCAAGGAGCAGAAAGGGTCAGCAAGGAGCTGGAAGGGGCTGAAGGAGCACAAAGGTAAAGTAGAAGAAGGAGCATAAAGGAACAGAATGAGCAGGAAGTGTCTGCAATTTGCAGGAAGGGTCAGCAAGGAGCAGGAAGGGTCAGAAGGGAGCAAAAGTAGCAGAAAGGGATCAGAAAGAGAAAGTAGCAGGAGGGCGCAAAAGAAGATGAAAGGTAAAGGAGCAGAAGGAGCCAAGGAGAAGAGAAGACAGTGTCAGAAAAAAGACTGTGTGAATGAAGGAGAAGAAAAGAATATTGGAACAGGAAGGACAAGTGAAGTGATCCTTCCACTTCATTCTGGACACCACATCATAAGACTTTGGTCCCTTGGCCTGGCAGGAAAACTTTGGACCTTCTCATCTCCCCAGGCAAAAAATATATCAATGTTAATGTGTTCACTTTTATTTACGGAGTGTCAGGAAGCACAGAGTGCCACTGGTAGGGATGCCGCAGATTGGTCAGCTGGCACTCTAAGCCAATCACTAGATCCCCAGTCATAAAAAAGTTAATAAAATTTTATGAACCAGAAACTAGTGATTGGCTTAGAGCTTCAGCTGACAACTCTAGCCAATCAGCAGCACCCATGCCTGACATCAATTTGCACTTCCTGACATTCCGTTTCAGAAGCCAAATACCACTGAGCAACCTGGAGATCTGGAGCAGGAGGAAGCCTTTGGGTTTGAACCATGTGAGAGCGGTTTAATTCCTTAAAGGAAAAAGAGCGCCCAGGGGCCTCCTGGCATCTTAGCAGCCTGGCATCATGCCTCCTGGCATCATTTAAATGAAGTTGTTATTAAGGGGGACTGGACTATAGAGGACACTGACCAAGGTACTTATCTCTCCCCACTAGCCTATTTGAGCTCAAAAAGGCCAGTGGACAGGTGCCAATAGACCGGTGCCTACTTTGCCTAGGAAATCAGGCGTTGCAAGAACCGCAAAGGAGCTCTTAAAGTGCTATGCACCCAATATTAATGCAGACCACAACCAGCCCCCATGGGACCACAAGTGAAACTCAAACTCTCTCACACAAACACACACATACCACTCAAACAACTCCACACAAAACATTCAATCACTACACACAATACTCAACAAGCACCCAGTGGCACACTTCGAAACCCCCAAATACACAAGCTCTCAGCCTCCCCCACACTCCTCCCCCACATACAACACTCACAGAACAGAGTCTAGGGCTCTAGAAGGGAGCCCTAGTCTGGCATTATGACTATGGCCCCAGACAACCTTAATTCAGCTCTGTTAGAATGGTTATTCACTAAAGCATGAATTCAAAGCGAATTTCAAATTTAGACAAACCACTATTTTTACTGGTTGGCTGACAATAATATCTACTCACAAAGATACTGATCATTGGCAGATTAGCCACTTGGTGGTAAATCATAGAAAAGCATGCTATGTAAGATATCACAATAGTTACCACATGTTGGTGTAAGAAAAGCTCACCCTGCACATGTACACTTCACTCTGGGAATGGCTTTAGTAGGAGATGCCAACAGTGTAGATTATGTATTAAAATGTGACTTTTTAGGTGGCAGGGCCTGAATGTAATGGTGGAAGGACACATCTTAAGCAAGCTCCTTTACTATTATACTAAACAAAGTGTTTTGCAACATCACCATGCTTATTTTGGAACTTTTCCAAAGAGTTCTGACTCCTAGACCATCTGTCACACTAAGCAGCGGTCACTAACTTTTTGAAAGCTTCCTTTCCTCACCATGACACTAGCGACCTAGCACGCACCGGAATGAAAAGGCAGCGGATCTCCCAGCCCGGAGGCGCCTAGAAACAACTATTTTTGAATCAGTGCCTGTGACAAACTCCCCTTTTTAAGGGAATTTGCCATGAGTTTTTGGAGGGGCCCTGTGATAACCCATGTTCAAAAGTACTGTTTCTGCCCCTTGGACTTTTAACTGGAACAGATTGAAACGTGGCAGCGGCCATCTTAAATTGTCCAGTGTTTTGCCGTCGAGTGTATGGAACTGTTTTGGGCATGGGACCATGTGCACGGTGGGGCAAAAATAAGACTTCCAGAAAATTCCTGAATCCCTGAACCCATTTGGGTGATTTTTGGATATGTTGTTCACCCAGGTCTGGGCTCTCAGGGGATGTGTTATATTTTGGGCTACTTTTTGGTTTTTGTAAAAATTTATGTTTTTTCTGCTAAAGTTAATTGAGTTATCCCATTGTCTTTGTTAATTGTATCACAGGCAGAGGGGAGGGTTTGTGTACAGTAACTGGGAGTGTTCAAATGTAATTTGCATTGTGCATTTCATGTCCTGTGCCCCACAAGGTCCACGTGGGCGGTAACCTTGTGGGGAAATACTGTATAAAAGAAGCAGCTGTACCATTAAACCTTCAGTTGTACTTCACCCTCAATCTGTCTCTTATTGGGGGAATCTGCTACAAGGGATTGCTATGCGATTCATACTCCCTTAAATAATCACCAAGATCCTGTAAGAGCTTGTTCCTGTTCCTGCTTCACTCTTTGGGGAAAGAGAGGTTCACCCACTGGAACCTGGAGCCTTGTCGTACGTCCTGGGTGGGTAGGAGACGGCGAGACCCCAACTAAGCTGCGGCGGTTTGTGGGGTCTGCAGTGCTTATGGTGTCAAGTGGAGTGCTTAGAGCCCTGGGGAAGCATTAGGTGCATCCGTCAATAGAGGTACCCAGTCGGGGTGCCAGGTGATCCATAACAGTGCCCTGTTCCCCCCCCCCCCAGGACCGGTGGTGGTGATCCCAGTCCACCCCCTCCTTAGCTGGAACACGGGGTGAAGTCCTCAAGCCTGACTGGGTCTCCTGCAACTCTCCCAACATGGTGGAGAACGTATGTTCCCCCACTACCAACAACGAGCAACCTGACATCCTGTCCAAGATCGACAGTCTCTTTATCAACTTTTGGCAGAAACTGGAATGCAGGCTGTGCCAGCCGACCCACTCACCTCGAAAGCTGAATCCAGATGCCAAATGGGAGTTCCTCATCTCACGCAGCGAACCAAACTTCAATATGGTGACAGATCGGGCACCACGAAGACAAGATGATACGGCGGCGGTAACAGACACAATCCAGGCTCGAGCCACCTACAGTGCCGGAGAGATTGTGTGGAGACCCATTCGCGGTATATGTGGTGAACCGACAGATCCAATTCGGGCTTGGTGGGCTGAAGCTTGTCCCTCCAGTGCAGGACTGTGTTTTGCCCATGCAGGGTGTAGGCTGACCGGGGCCCTAGAATTGAGCTATCTTAAGATCCTGGATACTCTCCTCTCTCTATGAATAATATGGGGGGTGGGGGTGCTGAGTTTATAGCAGCCATGGGGTTTAGCTAAGCTTTGAGCACTCTTATTTTCCTTTGAGCATTTAGTCAGCGTGGTGGGGGGGCTCCTTGGGAAGACCTGCTGTGTACACTCTTCGTGTCTAGAAATCTCTATGGTTAACAGATAATTGCCAGTAAATTGACATGCATACAGGACTATTATATACTATAAAATGTGCAGAAACTTCCCGGTGGGCTGTCGGCATCTGGGGCCGGGCAGACAGCTGTCTGTGCTGGCGGCCACAGGGGGAGCTGTGCTGGCGGCCGCAGGGGTAGCTGTGCTGTCTCTGCTCTGCACCCCAGCACGCAGCTTAATGAGACCGGGGCCAGAATATGATGTCATATTCCGGCCCTGGTCTCATTAAGTAGCACACAAGGGCGGGGGAGCAGAGAAAGCACAGCTCCCCCTGCGGCCGCCAGCACAGCTCCCCCTGCAGCCGCCAGCACAGACAGCTGTCTGCCCGGCCCCAGGTGCCGACAGCCCACCGGGAAGTTTCCCAGTGGGCCAGTCCGGCCCTGGTATGAGGACTGGGGCACTATTCTGGGGGTTAGGGACTTTACTGTGAGGAATAGGTACATTATGGTGGAGGATAGGTTCTTTATTGTTGGTGGAATAGGAGCAGCACTGTGGGGGTAAGGATAGGCAGGGCCGGTGCTACCTGTTAGGCGGACTAGGCAGCCGCCTAGGGCGCCCCTTGGGAAGGGGCGCCGCCAGGAGCGCTGGCCCCACTCATGATGCAGCCGTCTGAGCGCTCTGTAGAGAGCCTCAGGCAGCTGCAGCTTTGCCCGGGCCTGTGCGTCCATGAGGGCGCACCGCCCAGGCGCAGCATGAGGAGAGGGGCTGACAGGAGGGAAGCGCTCAGCGCTCAGTGCTCCTTCCTGTCACTCCCTCACTGTAGCGTGGCCGAGCTCTGTATGGTCCGTGGGTACAGGGAGCATCTGTCTCCTGTACCCGGCCGGACTAACAGGAAGTGCACACTCAGTGTGCACTTCCTTTTAGTCTGGCCCGGTACAGGAAACAAAAGCTCCCTGTACCCGCGGACCATACAGAGCTCGGCCACGCTACAACAGTGGTAGAAGGTGGGGAGAATGAAGAAATTGAGGGGGGGAAAGAAATTGAGGAGGGGAGAAGGAAATTGAGGAGGGGAGAAGGAAACTGAGGAGGAGAGAGAAGGAAATTGAAACTGAGGAGGAGGGAGAAGGAAATTGAGGAGGGGGAAGAAGGAAATTGAGGAGGGGGAAGAAAGAAATTGAGGAGGGGAGAAGGAAATTGGAGAGGGAGAATGAAACCGAGGGAAACTGAGATGGGAGAAGGAATTGGAGAGGAGGGAGAAAAGGAAATTGAGGGGAGAAGAAGGAAATTGAGAGGGGGGGAGAAGAAGGAAATTGAGGGGAGAAGAAGGAAATTGAGAGGGAGAAGAATGAAACTGAGAGGGGAACCGGGAGAAGGGAGAAGAAGGAACTGAGAGGGAGGGAGAAAAGGAAATTGAGGGGAGAAGAAGGAAACTGGAGAGAGGGGGAGAAGGAGGAAATTGAGAGGGGGGAGAAGAAGGAAATTGAGAGGGGAGAATGGAGAGGGGGGAGAAGGAAATTGATGGGAGGGGAAGAAGGAAATTGACGGGATTGACATCCATCAAACGCACACACAATGCACCCCTTGCACACAGAAAAACACACAATGCATTACACACACAGACACACATAAACAAGCAATGCATCCCTTACAAACACAGAAACACACAATGCATTCATTACACACACTCAATGCATCCCTTACAGACGCACACACTGCATCCCATACATACACAAACACACCTTGCAGCCATTACACATACAAACACAGATTCACACAATGCATTCCTTACACACATCAGGACATCCCCTACACATTCCACCCCCTGTGAACAAACTCATTGGTGGAACATGAAGGTGGACCCTGGGACCCAGACCTAGAGCTGTGTAAAGGGCCCCCCAAAAATGGAGCTGCTTCCCGTTCTCCCAGAACATTGATTTTTGTGACCACAGTTACAAACTGCCTCCAGAGCCTGTTCTACACCAGACCAGTGGAGCTAGACTGCAGCTAGAGCCCATCATCATCCTCATCTGGTTGTAAGTAGGCAATCTAGCATATTATCTAGTATATTATTCGTGGCACTAATCTCTAATTTACCTCACATTAAAGAAACACTATAGTCCCCAGAACCACTGCAGCTTAATGTAGTGGTTCTGGTGTCTATAGCCTGTCCCTGCAGGCCTTTTAATGTAAACACGGCAGCACTGCAGCACTGCAGCACTGGCGTTAGTTAACATGGCAGATCATATGGGTGGGGCATTGTGATGTCACATGGGGGGGCGGCAAACTTTACTTTTGCCTAGGGCGGCAAAAATCTTTGCACCGGCCCTGAGGATAGGGCAGTTTTGTTTGGGGCTTTAGTATGAGTGGAGATAGTGCAGAGACAAACTACAAAATTGATAAAAGGAATTGAGCATTTTAGTTACGAAGAAAGGTTAAAAAATGTAAGTCTCTTTAGTTTGGAAAAACGGCGCCTCAGAGGGGCTATGATAACATTATACAAATATATTCAGGACCAGTACAAACCATTATCTGGAAATCTATTCATAAACAGGGCTATACATAGGACATGCGATAACACATTTAGGCTGGAAGAAAGGAGATTTCATCTAAGGCAAAGAAAAGGTTTTTTTTACAGTAAGAGCAATAAGGATATGGAATTATCTGTTTGAAGAGGTGGTTATGTCAGAGTCCATACAGAGGTTTAAACAGCAATTGGATAAATACTTCCAAAAACATAACATACAGGGATATAATTTTGAATTAGTGGGGTAATAGCTACTTGATCCAAGGAGATATCTGACTGCTATTTTGGGGTCAAGAAGGAATTTTTTCCTAGTTTGTTGCAAAATTGGAAGCGCTTCAGACTAGGTTTTTGCCTTCTTTTGGATCAACCGCAAAAACATATGTGAGGAAGGCTGAACTTGATGGACGCAAGTCTCTTTTCAGCTATGTAACTATTTATAGGAGTAGTAATGTGGGGGCATATACACACACAGTCAAACACACCCAAAATACTATTAGACACCCAAACAACCACAGACATAATCTTACACACACACACACATACATATTCTCTTTTGACACATAAACACACAAAAATTATTTTTAGTAATAGCTTTTTTGAGGGGTGGGGTGGAGGGGTTAGGATATCCCAGTCTCTCAACCTTTAGGAAAGGTGGAGTGGATCCTCTTCCTTAGGCCCAGTCTGGGCTGTACTGCTCTGAACAGCAACGAGAGAGCTCTTATGAATATGTGCATTGCCTGTACAGTTCCCTAGTGCGTCCTGTAGTGGTGCCTGGCTGGAATGACATCACATTCCGGCTCCTGGCATCACTACAGTGCGCGCAAGGAGTTGTGCAGGCAATGAGCATATGGATCCCTCACCACTCATACCCACCTGCCGAGCAGGCACATGTCATCCTGACAGAAAGGTAGCTACTATGCCTTAGAGTGGGCCCTGGTGATCACTTCTTAGCCTAACGGGAACGTCTTTCCTGCTGGGAAAAAGTACAGTGACGCTGTTATTCCTGTAGATCTGTTTGATCTATACGTGGACATTTATAAACAGAGATATCAGAAAAAAATTGATATTAAATATTTTTAATGTGAGTAATATTTTCTCATTTCATTAAAATACATTTCAAAATGTATGGTATAAAAGAATTTAGGATTTTCAATAATTTACTATTATTTACATTAGGCGGTAGTTCCTGTTAGTATACATAGCTCAGAACCGAGATTGTACAGCCAAATCATTACGGGATCGAGGGAAAACACCCACCCAAAAATATTTGATAAAATCTACTGTAGAAATGGCTTTAAGGTTAATATTGCACTTTGGGTGGGGTGGGAGTTTGTCAAGATGAAGACCATTTATATAGGGCAGTATACACGTTAAACAGGCCTTGGTTCTTTACTGACTCCACGTACATTGTGCATGTCCTTAAACATACTGAAGTCCATTATATACACTATTACAAACAAAAATACTCATTTTCTTTGCGACTCATATACCTCTTCATTACACATTCATAGGGCAGGAGACTGTATCACATTAA